GGGGAGCTGATGATCCCTTTAGGGCTGCGCTAAAGCCGCGGAGGGGAGGAGATGGCTCAGGGAAAGCAGACGGGAAACGTTATTGACCGGTCTCGGGCAGGGGAAGAAGAGGGGGGATCACGGTGTGCTCCGTGGCACGCGGCACGCTGCCGCAGGGCGTCTGCCGGCTGGTGGGACTAGTGCCAAAGGTGGCCTGGGAGGTTTTGGGAGGAGCAAGTGCACCCCACAAGAAGAGCGTCAGGACCTCACGGTTCAGAGCTAAAACCTCCTCCTGTGTCCTTGGTGATGGGGTGGCACCCTGACGGGGGACAGACTTCCAGCCGCGTCCCACCCTGTACTGGCGATGGGAGAGGGGTGGTGGTGGCAGCCTGAGATGGTGGCAGAGACCCTTTTTGTCCATGAGGCCACCTTTGTGCCCCGATGGAGAGCCCGACCAGTTCAGTCACAGCTTCATCTCGCAATCTCCTAGTCGGTTGCTGTCCCTGTCTCCTCCCTCCCAGCCCATGGCCGTTGTCTTTGGGGGTTGCCAGAGCTTCTCTGTCCCCTTCACCGCGCTGGCAACCGCTTGTTGTGTTTGGCCTCGTCCTCAGCCCAGGTGACGGCCCAGAAAACGCTGCTGACGCCAGCGCCGGGTGAGCAGAGAGTCTTGTCCCAGCTCACATTCGGGTCAGCCGCGGCCCCTTGCTGGTTCCTCGAGGTCCCAAGCCCCCAGCCCTGCTGCCGGTTTGGGTTCAGCAAGGCGTGATTAAATATTCCTGCAATTGTTGTCGACATCTCCAAGGAATACCGCCGGATTTGGCAACCCCCCTGCTCACGCCCTCCTTCTTGCTCAGACTTGACTTTTGCAATTGTTTGCTGGATGTTTTTCCTTCCGCCTCCTCCGGCCATCAGCAGCCCGAAAGACTTTGGCAGCAGAACGAGGCGGGTCAGTGGTGGCCCGGCCGAGGGGCTGCGTCCCTGGGGAGCCCTGCGCGGTGGCTCCCCGGTAGGTGCCTGTGTGGGGATGGGATTTTCCCCCCTGCCAGTTCCCCGAGGCCGGGCATGCGCGGGCAGTGTTTGCTGGCTGACCTGGCACCTGGGGAGAGAGAGGCACCGGCTCACGTCGGCTGCCAGGGAGGTTGTTGGCACAGAGGGCTGGCAGCGGGCAAGGGGGGGGTGGTTGCAGGCTGCCGTTCCTGCCTGCCTCCCGCTGCCTGCCTCCCTGCCTCCCACTGCCTCCTGCTGCCTCTCTCCCTGCCTCTGCCTCGCTGCCTTCTGCTGCCTGTTCCCCTCTGCCTGCCACAGCCTCCCTTGACTCTCCCTCCCTCTGCCTCCCACAGCCTCTGCAGCCGCCCCCTGCCCACCTCCTGCAGCCACCCACAGCCTCCCTGCCTGCACCTGCTGCCAGCCATGCACCATCCCGTGCCGGGGGCCGTGCTGGGGCAGCCCCCACAGGAGGGGGAGGCGGACGCCCGGGAAGGTTTGGGGCCCCCAGGGCCTCCCCGGCTCTCCTCATCCGTGGGTCCTGCTGCCGGGGGTCTCCCTGTGGTCCCCCCCCCGGCCAAGGGCACCCCCCCACGCCACGGCACCCACCTTGGGCACATGCTGGTATCACAGAGCAAACAGCCTGGCAGGCACAGGGAGCACGGCTGGGAGGCGAAGGCCAAGGGAGAGGCGGGTGCCAGGATCTGGCTCCATGGGCAGTGTCGGTCCCCCAGGAGGGTGGCCCTGGGGAGCACTGTAACGGCGTTTTGGGGACAGGAGGATGGGGCGCAGGGCAGAGCAGGGGTGCAGGGCAGCCCACCAAGGCCACCCCCAAGTCCCCAGGCCTCCACACGGGTGAGGGGGACTGGGGTGGGGGGATCCGTGGCAGCCCCGAAGCTGGGAGAGGGCAGGCATGGCAGAGCCAGGGGATGGCTGGCCAGATAGGCCCCCCCCAATGTGTGATCCCTGCCACTGT